ATGCTTTCACCCAGCTCACAGGGAAAGAAAATATCCATGCCCCCCAAGGACGTCCGTCGAAACTCCAATGACGGGCTTCTTGTTGAACACGACCACCACCGCACGGCCGCACTGCACCCAGTCGGGCGAGAGGCACATCAACGGGCATGGCAGGAGAGAGAGAGACTAAGAGAGCAAGTAATAAAAGTAAAACGGGTATTTTACGTTTTTTGCTTAGACGTACCCAGATACGTCTTTTGTTATCCATTTCTAATTTTAATCTTCCTCCCTATTCAGAAATAAATGCACAACTATATGTCATATTTTCTTGTGCATCAAGTTTTAACAGAGAACCGTAAGGAAGTGTCAAACAGCACTACATGTATGCCAGGCCGAGCCCCCGCGGGCACGTATACAAGCAATGGAAGTGACCACGAGCCCTCTGCATCGGTTAAATGACCACCTTCAAGAAGTGTCAAACAGTCGGTGGTCTCAGGTCTCTAGTGCTAAAAACATTCTTAGGGGACCTTGCGGCAGAACTGCTTGGCGTAGCACTAAATGCTCACCAAACAGTTTTGGATGTCGATCATATGGACACATCATATGATGCGTCCCAGCAAGCAGCGATTGATTGCAGGACCTTCTATCCGGTGTGGATCTTTGAGAGCAGATTTGACGCAATCCACCGTTAGATCCATTCCGGCGAGAGGGACCTGTCATTCTGCCATTGTTTATTGTACTCATCACGTAGGAATCAACGACGTGAGGAATCGACAATGAACATTCTTAGGGGACTTTGCGACCGTGTTTGGAACTTATTGGCGTAGCACTAGATGCTCACCAAGCAGTTCTAGAAGTCGGTTATATCGACACATCATATGATGCCTTACAAGCAAGCTGTGGTCGGATCCCGGCCCCCATCCCCGGTGTTGATCCATGAGAGCAGATTTGACGCAATCCACCGTTAGATCCACATCGGAGAGGCGGACCGGTCATCCTGCCGCTGTTCAGTGTAGTCATCATGTGGGAGTCGACATCACAAGAACCCGACGATGTTCCAATTGGGACGTGCTCTTGTTTCGTGATGTGCAGGTGCTTACCGGCGGTTCGTTTGCGGAAGTCGGGAGAGAAGGAGAGAGAGAGACATTTGCAGGTTGCCTGTTGTTTTCGTAAAGGTCAAGTTGAAGCAAAGTRCGATGCGTTCATTCAAAGTGCGAATGAACTCGCACTTAGATGGAGGGTGCAGTTGAAGAAAAGGAGAGAGGGAAACAGTTGCAAGGTGCTCGTCGTTCACACCAGAAGTGAGAATGAACTCGCACTTAGATGGAAAAGCAGGTGCGCACACCATCAGCGCGATGATTTAATATGGACGTTGGCTTGTCATTTGCATGTTACCCGGTGAAAATGTCATCAAATCTTTGTGTGGAGAAGATACATATCCATTCCTATAAGTAACTATCGTCATCGCCTTCAAGTTGCCTAGTATTTTTCTAAAAGGTGAAGTTGCACACCACAAAGAGAGTTTCCTGAAATCATTCAATGCAAAAAAATCATTCAATGACAAATTGCAAAGTACATAGAGGCGTTTTCAAAAACAAATCAATACAAAATTGCAAAGTACACGGAAGCTTTCCAAAATTCATAAAGTACATGGAGCCTTTCAAAAAATCATTGAAGGACACGTTCTAAGACACATGTAGGCATTCCAAAAATTTATCCAGCCCACGTCGTATAGTCTACATGACATGCCCTTATCTACAGAAGACGCTTTCGTACAGTCTATATCACTCCCCCTCTTTGCCGCAAGCCGAAAAGTCCTGCATTACACATGAAACAAACCCTACCACTAATACGAACATGTCGAAGACCTACACGAAAGTTGATTCAAGCCGAAGACCTACAAGAACGCTGATTCGTGGCGAACAAAATTGTAAAGTACACGAAAGTTTTCCAAAATTCATAAAGTACATGGAGTCTTTCCAAAAATCATTAAAGTACACGTTCTAAGGCACATGTAGGCATTCCAAAAATTATTCCAGCCCACTTCGTATACTCTACATGACATGCCCTTTTCTACAGAAGACGCTTCCGTACAGTTTATATCACTCTCTTCTTCGCCACAAGCTGAAAAGTCTTGCATTACACATGAAACAAACCCTACCTCTAATACGAACATGTCGAAGACCTACACGAATGCTGATTCGAGCCGAAGACCTACACGAACGCTGATTCGTGCCGAAGTCTGCATTAGAAAAAAGGTCATCCGAACCCGACACGATGTTCACCTGCCTGCACAAGTCCCACACAGAAGCCCATCCAAGCCCGACTTGATGTCCACAACGTGATAGGGTCAGACCCACTGCAAAAAGAGTGAGGTGATAAATGGGAGTTTATTCGCATATAGAATCTAAATACCCTGAGACGATGAGTATCTTCGTAGCATGCGGTGGGTGAGAAGAGTTAGTACGATCTTCATGGTAGCAGCATGTTCGGTCTTCGAGTAGCCTTCCGCGATCGTCGTCGTTGCGCTCGTCTATGTTGAACTCGATTAAAAGGACTTGGTTCGGGAATTCGGGCCTCAAGATCTGCTTCGATATTCGGCAAGTCGCGCATGAGTAAATCTTTTAAAACTCGATTCAAATTGCTCATGTGACGGATTTGGAACGGACAACGGTCTTCCCAGAACGGGGGACTGTCATCATCTTCTCTCACGCCGGATACAAGGAATAATTCTCCATCCAAGCACGAGGCGATATGCATAATGAAGATCGATAAGAAAAACGTAATGGCAGGCTCACAACCTTCTGGCATTCTATCGAAAGATGTGCTGGTTACGTATGAATAATACAAACAGCTTCTCAACTCCCCTTCGGACGCAATGTAGAAATCAATTCTGAAGACGGGCCTGTTCCGTAGCGTGGCCATCACAATGTAGTGAAAAGTTGGGGTAGGCGGGGGCGAAACTGACGGCTGAACACGAGCGCGAACGTCTTCGGGGACCGGAAGGTAGCGATATCTGGGAAGCCCAATGTTGCAAAACCACTCTAACCCATAAATGTTCTCAGTTGCGGCAATAACTGCACTTCGCAGACTTTCGCAGTAACCGAGGTCTCTGACAACAGCCGTCCACCTGAAACTTCCAGACAACATCCTGCATCAGAAAAGAGAACAGCGCCCTTGTCATATACGGAGAGGTGGGTAAACGGGGAAGTTGAGACCGTGTGATGTTGGCAAAGTGCGAATGAACTCGTAATTAGATTGACAGTTTGTCATGCAACGGGGTATACCGAAGGGGACGGGGCATGATGAACGAGAGATAAGTAAGAGGGCGAACATGAAATTCAACGGGTTGTAAGCATAGTGCGAGTCTATTCGCACTAGAGAAAACACAAAGCAACTAATTCAGAACGCCGCTAGTGAAGATGTAGATGTCCAGCATCGCAGTAAGGGCAGTCGCACACATATCTCGTCTTCCCGTTGCGCAGAGTCACTTCCTGAGGTCCGGAGGTTGAATAATCTAGATGGTGGTAAACAAATCACAATTCGTTGTCCCTATGTTCGACTGTGAAATTTATTTCGTCGCAGCTATCGAAGAGGTAGTGAAGTCGTTGGTACACCAAACTGTCGACCCGCAAATGCAGTTCATCCTTAAGTGCTTGATCTATGGCGAGCCTGTTTTTGAACTGTGCAAGGAAACCAGTAGGGCCGGATGTGTGAAACGCTTAAAAAGAAGTGAGCTTGACACCGTGAAATTCCTCCTTTGCGAGAAAAAAAGCTCTCATTCGTCGACCGTCCACCTTCACGACAGTGAAGAGCGTCACGACGGTGGTGCCTCGATTACACACCCTCGCTCGACTGAAGTAGTGTATGATCATTGGCGCCGACTTCGTCGGTTGGCCGAGGCAAAACCAGGCACACAATTTTTGATGCAACTTGTCCAACGACGCTCACTTAAGTTTCTCACATAACATGTGCCATGCTTCAACCATCTTAGAAGTTTGGACAGGTTCCTCTTCAACGGGTCCCCTCTTCAGAAGTGACTCCAACCTGATAGGGTATGCCTGTATATCATTCATCAGAGTGTACAGGTACCAAAAGTTCGACCCTACAACACGGCAAATCCGAAGTTGTCCTTCTTCCGCACTTTGCCACGAAGGGATTTCCCCGTCCGGGGCAACATCATCTTCGAGGTGCAGGTAGTCACGGTTCAAACCATAGCGTCCAATGTCTTCCCAAATGTTCTTCGACAAGCTGATTAGATCGACATCCGACGCTGAGGACTTCCTACTCTGTGACGAAGTCCCGATATCCATTCTGTATCAGCGGAGAAACGCAAGGAAGCGCGTCAGTTGCGATTCTCGCAAGTGCATAAGCAAAAAATAAAGCGGATTTATATGCTCGAAAGGGTTCGATAATTGGTAATTGGTTCGCACATCGCAAAAGAGCGCAAGTTTTCTAACCGCCGTCTAATGCCGACTTATTTTCTACACGTCATTCATGTGGGTCGATAAGTGAGAGTAGATTCGGACTTCGCAAATCAGCGCAAGTATTGCAACTGTTGCCGACGATTGAAAAATAAGTGAAAGTAGATTCGCACTTCGCAAGTCAGCGCAAGTCCTGCAACCGCCGCTCAACTTCGACTCATCTCCAACACGTCGTTCATGTGGAATGGTCAGACTACTCTCTTATTGGGTGGAACGGTCAGACTACTCTCTTAATCAGCACAAGTCCTGCAACGATGGCGTCGATGAATGGCGAGGTCGTCTTATGAGTATAACAGCAAAGTGCGAACTAGCTCGGAGTTGTCTCACATAGCAGGTCATGGCGACTGGTGTCCATCCTCACAGTAAGGAGAGTCGTAGATCTGTCTCCGCCTACCCCCTACGAATTCCAATGTTTGAACACCCGAACGGTGATGCGAAACTTTTCATAGAGTGAAGTCATTGCAGTTGTCCTTGTGTTCCAACGTGAATAATATGTCGTCACACAATCCGAAAAGGAAGTGAAGTTGGGCATGCACCAAACAGTCAACCCTTTGATTCAACTCTTTTGCGAGCGAAGGATCTATTTTGAATCATTCACGGACGCGCTCGAGAGCACCGACGGACGAGGGCTCGCACATGAAGAAAACTCTCATTTGCTTACCACAAAGCTTGGCCATCGTGAAAAGAGTCAGCACAGGGGTGCCACGGTTGAACAGACGAACTCGGCCATGGTAGTCTATGATCACAGGAAAACGCAACTGCAGCTTCCCGATGCAGTACCATGCGCAAAGTTTAGCATGCTGCTCGTTCATACAACCCCACTCTTGTTCGAAGCGCAGCGACTCCTTGTCATCTACCTTATCCTCGACGTCCATCTTCTCCTCCTGACTAGATGGAACTTCCAAAAGTTTGACTTCTTCTAAAATCCAGTAGAGGTACCACATATTTGATCCTCTATCACGAACTATTGTAGTTTGTCCATCAACAACACGTGTTTCGGGTGCAATGTAACCGTCGAGGCCGACCCCAACTTCGATATGCAGATAATCGCTGTCAAGACTAAGCGTTTGTTGTGCCCAAATGCATTTATTCATGATGATAAGATCCGTGTCCACATTCTCGATCGAAAAGGAATACTCGCTCGCGTACGACGAGGTTTCGTAGGACGTTGTCTCATATACAACGTCGCACGATGGTATGTCGTCGTCATCCATCCTGCAGGACAAGAAACCGGAATTAGTTCGCAGTTCACTTCTCGTCATTGTCTTAGCGGAGTTCGTAGCTACCAAATCCGAATCAGTTCGCATTTATCTAAACGGGCACGTCGGACGAACCGGAAAGACAGCCGTCCCCTAACGCCACAAGCGCTTTCTCACAAACGGATGTCGGTATTGCAAGGCCTGTCACGAATTTGCTCTCATCCGTCCCATTGCGAAAAGGTCTTTTCCAAGAATAAGCCACGGTTTCGGCGCGTTACCATTGTTCCTCGTCCGAAGTGGAAAGTTTCCACCTCTTCGTCCAAGCGCCGGAGTACCTTTCGCGAAGATCAGACGAGTGACCTATAGGCACCCACCACTGTATACGTAAACAACCGAAATGCGGTGAGGAACGGTCGTCCACAACCTCAGACTGTGCTCTGCCAACCGAGAACGGGACACCTTGAGACAGTTCCTCATCAGGTGGCCTAACAACCAGAAAATCACCTTGGTTTATATGGCGCCGAGGGTCGAAGTCCACTTTTGGACGGCCCGCCCTCGGTCCTACATATATAAGCGAAGCATCTGGCGAAGGAGGGTCGACTTCTTGAACTTCCTCCACAGTTTCGACTGATTGTGGCCAGAAGGTGTGAGGGTAGATCCCCGGCTCGTCCGGCCCTAGGACATCCTCTTCTTCACCCTCTTCCGTCTCCTTCTTCTTTTGCTTTTGGATCATGTCGTCCGCCTCGACGAAGATGGCTTTCCAGTAGGACAAAGCATCCTCCCGCTTGTCGACCTCCTCCTTCCTATATGTCTGCCACATGTGTCTATGTTGTTTGAGGACGTCCACAAATTTTTGGACATTGTCACGAGCCATCTGAAAATCGTCTTTAACGACACGGGGAATAACATATGGCTGTGGAGGGAAGGTAGAGCCTGCATACTGCCAATCGACAACCGGGAACCAGTGAACTGGTCTGCCTTCCGACATCCATTCCTCATCGGTACAGTACTTCTTGTACACCATGACGGGACTGCCATCACGCATGAAGAATTTGAAGAGATGCGATTTCGACACGCCGACGATGCTTTTGTCGACGTATCGATCCACAACCCGGCGCCAATCGGCAATGTGATCGAGTTCAATGCACTTCGGCGGTATCTTGTGCGACAACTCGATAAGCAAGAACAACTGCTTCATGGTGTAAGCATCGCTGTCCTTCAGTTTTTTCGAGAAAACACTAAAAGTCGCGTCTATGTCGATATGCGTGTGGCAACGAGCATGAACCCCACTTCTATATCTTCGAAAATCCCAAATTTCACCAGAAGAGAGGCCAAACACATAAGGTATTGGGTTTTGTTTTCCCTCCAGCAATTGTCTGCCTGGATTCAGAGGTGGCGGGGCCATTTCTGTCCCAGCGCCTGCAACTCACATAAAGTCTGCATAACGCACGTCATGGTGCCATTGGAACCGTGCGCATAAAAAGGCAAATATGTGTAAACATAAATGAACGTTTTTCTGCAGTGAGCTATGACCTCGGTCAGGTTCGTTTTCATCATCATGTCGTGTGGATGATCCTTGGAGTAATTATACATGCTGATGTGAGGAATGGTTGTCTTTTTCTGATCCATTCCATCCACTATAAGGCAGAGGTATTCCGCGGGGTTCAAAATGGAACGAAGTTTTCAGTCAGCGTAATCCGCACGGTGAGCGACCTGATCTAGTTGGTGTTTGCGGTGCTTTTCATCGAAATCCCTACGGTCACGAAGGAGAAAGGCGTTATCTCTAGCCTGTCTAAGGCGGACGCACTCGCCACACTTTGTGAACGAGTTGGACTTGGCAAGGTCGGCATGCCACAAGTACTTCCTCCATTTGGAGTAGAAGACTTGCTCCGAAACGACGGTCTGACCTGCCGCTTCCAAGTCCGCCTTGATAGACTCGTATACAAGGACGTTCGTGAAATAAGGAGGGAGCCTAACTTTAGGTCGTTGTGAGGTCCCCCTCACAACCATTTCGTTAGGCATAGCATCTCCATGTTCTTCCACGAAACTTGTCACACGAGCCAGCATGCTCACATACTCCGGTCTCGGGTTCAACAATCCCCATCGACCATGACGGCCACGGACGACCTCGTCCGACTTGCACTTGCTATAACGACGAAATTTGTTTCGACATATCCCTATTATTTTGCACCAACCGGCGATGCACACACAGCGTTTGCACTGCACTGGTTGGACTCTTTCCAGACCGCCGTGGAGGATAGTGAAATTGTCAAGGGTTTGCATCCACCACTCGATCCTCCTTTCGAGGGACATTTCGTAATAGGCTTCGCGCACCGGTTTGATATCGTCAATGGTCAAGACCCGAAGACACTTGTTCTTACAACATTTGTGCGTCGGGACGAGCGCAATGCTAGTTTCATTCAATCGACTTTTGGCCCTCTTCGAATGCTCTGACCTTCTAACCGGCCTATTTTTCCGATTATATCTTCTCCTTTCTCCAGGTAGGGGAAGAGACAGAACTTGAAGGACTGCTTCGGGAGTTCCAGGTTGGCTTTTAGTCGGGGACCTATGCGCTGCACCTAGGAATTTTGATCTGTCCGTGGGAGCGGTTCTCGGCAAATCAGATTGGGAGGATTCAGATGAACTGTAGAAATTTGTGTCTACAAAACCAGTCTGCCAATTTTTCATTGCACCTGTGGCTGTCATCGACGGAGAGCCAACTTTTCCAGCTTCACATGCAATTCTCTTACCTATCTTCACACTTCTACACGCACGTTCTGTTGCCTGGTCCCTACCATACCCATTTCTAGCAAATGCACCGCACTGTTCCCGATCAGATCCGTTTCTATCGGGCGTACAACAGAAGTCTGTGTCCGCTAACGACCGGCTGTAGTCAAATGCTAGGGGTTGGGTAACTTCAATGCTTTCAGACAGTCTACCCGCTGTCTGCACGAGATCTGATCCAATCATTTCGGACACACCATAGAAATCTGTGTCCACGAACATCCACCCACCGGGAAACGTCTCGGCATCCCGAACACCCTCACTACCGGGGATTATCGCTGTAGATACGCGTTGACCGTCAGTAACGTGGGTAAAGCGAACAAAACGACGTCGGGCGGACGTCGTAGACGAGTCTGAATGATTTGTCGGGGTCAACATCGAGAACTCCCTTTTCAAACCGCAATGCCGATCAGAGGGAGCTTCCGGGTTGCTGTCATAAGAACTACGTTATCGAACATCATCTTCTCCGTGTTGTCGTGACGGTGGCGGTGGCGTGACACAGTGGACGGATTGGACAACCATTTGAAGAGACGATTCACACGGAAATTGTACAACAAGAAAATCACGTTAATGTATGACGAGGTCAGGGAAATAAACAAGAAGGAGCAAGCTCGCATTTCTAATATTTATCACAAAACAGTGGGACAACAACATTTGAATCCATATCGTTTTGTCGGACCCTGATGTGAGCCTCAAGTGGTATCTCAAGTCCGACTCCTCTCCCACTCGTTCAGTGTGCAGGTAGTTTGGATATGTCCGAGTACACTCGCACTTTTTCAGGCTAGAGTACAAATGCGAGTTGATTCAGACTTATTCAACGTACAGTAAGAAATTGAGTTCATGGTCGAAACAAGAGCGAACACAAGTGCGAGTCAATTTGGTATTATCCACTAAACAGCAAGAAATTTCAAGTGTCAAAAAATTCGCACTTCAAAGGAACATTTCAATTACGCCATGCAATAAGAAATTGCCTTCGTGGTTGGTTCAGTGGCGAGTTAACTCGCAAATACAAAAATACTTCATTCTTCTGGGCCGAGAAGAGACGCGACTTATCGACTACAGAGGAACAAAATCTGAGGGGGATGGTTGGTTGAAGAGCGAATAAATTCGCACTTGCAAACAAGCATTTCCATTATGAAACTGGGGCTTTTGGACTAAAGAGTCACAAATTTAGGGGGATGGTTGGTTGAAGAGCGAATTAATTCGCATTTACCAACGAGCACTTCAACTATGAAACTGGGACTTTTGGACTAAAGAGTAAGAAATTTAGGGGGATGGTTGGTTGAAGAGCGAATAAATTCGCACTTGCAAACGGGCATTTTCATTACGAAACAGGGGGTACAAGTGCAAGTTAATTCTGACCTGTGGACTAAACAGTAACAAAGTAAGGGGTTGGTTGATTCAAGAGCGAATGAATTCGCACTTCTAAACGAGCATTTCCATTACGAAACTGTGGGTACAAGTGCAAGTTGTTTCCGGCTTGTTCTGCGTGTAGTACGAGCCACAGATCGTCGCAAGAGAGAAATAGGGAAAAATGGCGTACTATTTTTTAAGATGGAGAAAGATTGCGAAGGGATGGGCAGACGGCGCATCGATGAAAATACATGGAGAGAGATGGCGCACCGAATGAGAGAGATAGTGCACCAAGGGAGATGGATGGAGTCACAGTCTTCCCCCGAATACAACGTCCGGTCATTACAGCTGAATTCGGGTCATCTTTCAGTCTAAAAACAACTATAATGAAAGTGCGCTGTATATTCCGGGGAAGAAGGTAGATGGAGCAGGAAGGGAAAAAGATCGCGAACTGATTGGGAGATGTGCCACAGCGAGAGAGAGAGATTGCGCACCGATGGAGAAACATGGCGCATCAATGGAGATAGAAGGCGCAACGATGGTAAGCGATAGCACAGCAATGGAGAAAGATGGCGCACCGAAGCAGATAGATGACGATGGATATAGATTAGGAAAGATAGCGCAGCGATGAAGATACATGACGAAGGAGATAGATTAGAAAAGATAGCGCACCGAAGGGGATAGATGACGAAGGAGATAGATTAGGAATGATACCCCAGCGATGGGGATAGATGACAAAAGGTCGGTAGAGATCACGCATCGGTGGAGAGAGATGGAGAGAGGACACGCAACAATGGTTAGCGATGCCACAGCGATGGAGAGAGAAGGCACAGCGATGACCCAGATTTGTTATTGCACAACATCAGTTCCATTGAGTTAAACCTTCGTTAAGCATACTTGTCACTTGTTTTGTGCGATTCCACTGTGATGGGCGGCTGCACCGACGACAGCCTGAAACAACAATACAATGCCGATGGCGGGATCGCGCAGGAGCAATGGAGAGCCTCTGGGGCAAGGATGGAGGTTGCCCGGTGGTCGAGAGAGATCGCACAGTGATGGAGTGAGATGGAGAGTAATCACTTAGCGATGGAGGGAGATCGTGCGGCGATGGAGAGAGAAATCTCGCAGCGCTGCGGTGAGATAACACTGGTCAGGGCTTCAATAGCGATGGTCAGCGCTGCGGTGGAGAGCGATGGCGCAGCGATGGAACAGCGATAGCGATGGCGCAACGATGGAACAACGATAGCGATGGCGCAGCGATGGAACAGCGATAGCAATGACGCACCGGTGGAGAGCGATAACGCAACGATAGAACAGCGATAGTGATGGCAGCGATAGCGATAGCGATATCGATAGCGATAGCGATGGCAGCGATAGCGATGGCGCACCGATTGAGAGATGGCGCAACGATGAAACCAGCGTTGCGATGGCTGCAATAACGATGGCGCAGTGATGGAACCAGTGTTGAGATGGCAGCTATGGTACCAACGTTGCGATGGCGCAGCGATGGCCAGCGCTGCGATGAGAGCGATGACGATTGTCAGCGCTGCGATGGTGAGGCGAGCGCGACGGCTACGATGGGGGATATAACTTTGCGTCGTGATGGCGATGAGCTAAGCGCATCCATGACGATGGTGCATGGCGAGCGTTAGGGATGGCGATGAGCTAAGCGCATCTATGGCGATGGTGCATGGCTAAGCGCATCGATATCCACCGCCGTTGACATTTGCAAAATGTCTGAATGACAGCAACACCGGAACTTATAGATTTCCGGTGTGTTTTTTATCTTGGCGCACAACGAATCGCCGCACTTCGACGGGAAATAAACCGTCGCCTGGCCTCGGCGCACAACGAATCGCCGCACCTTATACATTCTTGCGCCTGACCTCGTGCGTCGGATCATGCCGATCGACGGTCCAGATTAGAACTGCGAAAATGACATTGCCTGCCCCTTGTTTTCGGGAACTGTCACATCATTGCACGCAGGAGTTGGCGGAGATTTTGGGGCCACTGCATATCAGTGGCTTCATTCATCTGCGCGGTTAAAAATTATTGATCAACGGCTAACAATTTCTGGTACCCCTTACCGTTTATAGGCCCTGGCGTTTTATGGGTCCAGGGGTGCGATACGCGAATCGATTCGGCCCTACCTTGATGGCGTTTTATGGGCCCAGGGGTGCGATATGCGAATCGATTCGGCCCCTCCTTGATCCCGACGCGAGGCCTGCTGCAGCAAAGTATAAAAGACGTTGCAGCCCTTGAGTTATCCCTTTTGTTGGCGCTCCACAGATCAAGTCACGCTATCGCTTCCGCGCGCATTCTGATATTTGGTCTTCAGCCCCCCCCACCTTCCGCCATAGCCCGCTCACTCTTCGCTCTTCGCTCTATCCGCAGTTGCCACATTGTCTTCGGTTCGCTCTTCGCTCTTCCTAGCTCGATATCCCTCCACCATAGCTGGTTCGGTGGTCGCACATCCATATCCGTCCGACGTTGGTTGTTCGCTCAACGCACGGCGAAGGAAAAATTATATAAGTTGAGTTGTCCTATTTTGTGTCCGACGTCCGAACACATTCCCTTATGCCCTGTCTGTACCTGCAGGATATAACGCCGCAGCCGCGTTCTGTTGAACCCCGAATCAATTCCCGGTTTTGTTGTCTCGCCAGTGGACGTGTTTTGATATCTTTTCTCCACCCTCCMCCTCCGTCCGCCATAGCCGATCCGCGTTCCGCAGCTCGATTACCTTTCGCCATAGCCACGATAACGTTCGTATAAAGCTGCTCGATCCCCTTCGCAA